GCGCTGGAGGACACCTTCCTACTGGCCGTACGATCAGGTCGTCACTGAATGCTGGATACTAAGGCCGCGAGCTATGCAGGTGGTCAATTGTGCAGCAGGGGGTCAGCGCAGGACCAGGAGCAGCCGCCGATAGGAGTATACCGATACAGGCTGTGTCGCAAGGGGCGTGACCGATGACCGTGATAGCATCCATGGTCGCAATACGCGAAATTCGCATGATACATGAAAACATAACACAAGTAGAAAATCGCGCAAAAAAAAAGAAAAATCGGCGCCTGTGGCGGGCCATGGGACCCCATCTGCCATCTCCCCCCCGCATGGCCATGGGTTCCGAACAAAGAAGAGGCGACGGGAGGAACCGGCGGAGGATGCAGTGACGTGAGACACACACACACACACACACACACACACACACACACACACACACACACACACACACACACACACACACACACACACACACACACACACACACACACACACACACACACACACACACACACACACACCCACACACACACACACACACACACCGCTCACCCACGCGCACTGGGCCTTGCACTTTGAATGCCGTGGGGCTCCTGTCGTCAGACGTGGAGACGCGAGGGTTGCCCCCCCTTGCCCCACCACCTCGTGTGTGTGGAGAAGTTTACCTTACCTTACCTTACCTTACTAGCCCCTAGGGGCCCCCCGCCTCCCCCGCCAGAGGGGACCTCCGAGCGACGCGAGGGGCTCCTGAGGAGTGATTCTGAGATCAGGTTAGTCGTTTCCCCTTTGGAGGCAGACATTTCAGAAAGCGAATCCCAGGCCGCATCTCCCCGCTCGAAGCGGGGAACCCGTCCCGGGCGCCCGCTGGAAGCGGGGGGCGCCCGCTCGAAGCGGGGGCGCCCGCTCGAAGCGGGGGCGGCGCAGGCTGCCACCGCTGCCCGGGCGCGCCGAGCGGCGGCGGAGGGCCGCCCAGGCCACCACCAGTGCCTCTCCCACCGGCGGCGCGGCGGCAGTGGCGCCGACCGCCCCTCCATCAGCGGCGGCGCGAGGCTGTCGTCGGGACGCCGGCAGGTGACGCGCGAATAGGGTGCCACCGGACCGGCCGACGAGCACCCAGCGGAGCCGTCATCGTGCATGGCGAGCCGAGCACCGCCGCGTCGCTTCTCGGCGCATTGGAGAGCAGAGGAAGCTGCTGGCGTCGCGCCTGGGATCGGCAGCGGCGCCAGCAGCTTTCTCTGATCTGAAGCGACTTTGAGCGCCGATCGATCGATCTGAGGGCTGACCGATGGCCGACGCTGGGAGGAAGACCGCGCCAC